TTAACAAGAATAACCTAACACTAGGCAATATTAAACACCTCTGTTAGCAGGAAAACAATGTATTATTTATTACAGCAGACAAACAGAATTTTAGGGGTGGGGGGTGTTGAATAATAATTTAATATTATTTAAAAAAGGGGTAGGTGAAATATGGCCCGCAGGCTGTATCCAACTGATTGTATCTGGCCCATGGGTGGAGCTCCAGCTCCAGCTCTGGCCACTGCGTGGTGCCAGGCAGGCAGGACTGCTTCCACCCAGTGCTAACATGGCAGGCAGCACTGGCTGTGGATCTGGACAGATGCCCCACTCAACACCCAGATCCTGCCAGTCCATCCACAGGTGATGCTGGTGCCTGCCTGGGGACAGGTGCCCGCCTGGGGACGGGTGCTGGTATTGGCTGTGGACATAGCTGGTAGGTTCCAGGTTGGGAGCAGGGAGGATCAAGGTGTGTTGTAGCTTGGGGTGAGGTAGGGATCAGGATATGCTGCAGCCCTTGGCAGAGTAGGGATTTGGGCATAGAAATCATAGAAAATTAAAGTTGGAAGGGACCTCAGGTCATTACATGCTGCAGTTCTGGGCAGTGTGGGGACCAGGGAGGCAGGGGGAGAGAGAGAGAAAGAGAGAGAAGTGTAGCCCTTGAGAGGACACCAAAATTCATTAAGTGGTCCTCCAGCCAAAATAATTGCCCACCTGTGGTTTAAAGTATCCTGGCTTCAAGAAGTTACAGGTTTCTCTCACTTTATGCAGGGTCTGTATGTGCAAATTTGTTCTTATGTGATGACCATTTTTATACCAAAAATTAGTTATATGCAAGGCAAATTAACTCATGCTATCAGTGTGGTGGAAGCCTGCAGTCAGCTGCTCTGTGTGGTGCACTGTTGGAGTGACACACACCAAAATATAATCTCCTGTGTGGATCTGTGCTCCTTGCTCGTTGTCTGCAGAATGTGTTTCTGTAGTAGTCATCCCTATTATGATAGTGCCCTGTGCTTGTGTGTACTAACTGCTGTTGGTGAATACCAAAATTGTCTTGTAAAAGTGGTAGAAATGGGTCTGGGGGTCAGTACAGTCGAGGTCTTGGAACATATCCCTATTTGTTACATTGTAAAGTAGATTACCTTTATGTGAATTCAAGTTGTACACTATATTCCAGGAACGCATGTACAGCATAAAGCGAGGGAAACCTGTATTCAGGAACACAGAATTCCAGATATGGTACTATACATTGAACATATTCCTAACTATAAATATTTTAAATATAATATACATATGAGCAAGAGCAAGATTACATTCACATTTTTTCCTTCCACTCCAATGACAGAATGCAAGAATATGACTCCAAAATATATCAGAGATGTTTCTGACTCTTATTCTCTTCTGCCCTTTCCATCAACATTCATTCAGGCGCTACCATGGGAAAAACACCAACACAGGTTTTAACATCCTGGGAAGGGAACAGCTTTTCTGAACAGTTAAGCATTTGTCCTTTTCCTTTCTATTTAAATACTATCTCTGCCTCATAAACTGGCCTCCAAATAATCTAAAAAGGCTGAAGCATGTTTTAAAACAATCCAAAGTGTGCAAAATGGACTGTAATCTTTCTTATCTTCATTTTGTTAAATATAAAAACTACTTATTTTACAAGTGCTGGAAAATTAGTTAAAAACTTGATATTATTTAAGCAAAAATAGCTAAATGTTTAAAGATTTGATTCACATACAGTATTAGGTTAAAGCTTACACTGGAAAGTTGACAAGGAAAATTTATAGAAAACAAAGGTTTAGCTAGCAAGCATGAGAAGATGGAAGGGAAGGACAAAATCTAGGACAGGATTTATCTGTAGGAACTTAACAGATAATTAACTGTTTTCAGTAAAAATGTGGGAATACCCCTGGTCAGTCTCACTAAAACTATGACCATCTGATCCTTCCTCTGACATCAGTGGGAGTTTGAGGCACTCATCAATTGCACTCACCAAAGAAACAGGTGAATCTCAAACTGGATTTGTGGATGTTCCGCTCCCCTTAGTTAATCCCCACCTCCACAAAGCATCTGTTTCAGCAAAGCACTTGCATGTGTCATTGAAATCAACTGGACAGGTTCTCTGGTTTATTTAGTAAGGTCACCCTGCACTGCAAGTGCTGGGGAGTTCAAATAAACTGGCCAGAGGCTCTCTATACAAGGAAGCTATGCTGAGGGAAAGCTTGCCGGGGGTGCAGAGATGTCTACACCAGCTGTCCATCTACCAGAAAAGGAAAAAAAAGCAGCTTATCTGGGGAGAGTGCAGAGATGGGTGGGGGCATGAGGAAGCCCAGCTCTGCTACACTTGATCCTCTGCTAGTGTAAGTTACATTACAGGGCTTATGTGAATGATGGAAGTTAGAGTAGGTGCCTGGAGATTCAGACCTCTCCTTAAATCTCTCATTACCCTGGATCTGACCTGTGCTTGAATGGAATGAAAACTAATCCAATGAAACCATTTTTATTCATTACTTGTATTATTGTAGTACGTATATACCTAGTCATGAACTGAACAACACTGTATTAGGCACTCTACAAACACCAAATAAAATACAGTTCCTGTTCCAAAGAGCTTACAATCTAAATGTAAAATAAAAAACAGTATATAGAAGCAGACCAGGGAGTACAAGGAAATAATATGGTCATGGAGCTAGGTAATACATCAGTGTGCTTAAATGTTCTGCTGAATCAGGGACCTAAATTTTGGCTACAGTTCAGTCAGCATGTGCATCTACATGAGACGCTTAATATGCAGAAGACTAGTTCTACAGTGCATTAGTGTGGCTGGCAAAACAGTACTAATGCATAGTAGACTCAGTCTAATTCGCATTAATATCACAAAAAAGCGTTCATCTGCACTAACGAGCAGTTGTGCTGATTAGTTACGGTGCACTAAGCTTAGTAATAACAGGTACTAAACTTCATGTGTTGTAATTATGGCAAATTAATGAATGTGTAGACATACCCAGTATTTTGCATTTCTCATTTAAAAATACAACATATAAGTTATAGTGAAAAAAACCCCCAAACATTTTTCACAGTAGAAAAAAACCATGCAAGGCTACAATTTTTCATACTGTATTCATTAGTTGTGTATGCAAAGTGGGTAATTATGCATAGACATTTATCTACAGTCTACACATGCAATTTAGGAATATAAACTTTGGCCCATTTGGGTTTGTGGGCTTATGGGTTTGTGGATTTATTTTGTATTATTACAGAAAGGTTTTTAACTTGAATCTGAGCAACATAAGGGCTAGAAGTAAATCCCCATATTTAATCTCAAATACTTTTCTGGATGCTACAATATAAGTAATCTAGTAGTGCCATTTTATCACTGAGATTACATGTTTTAAAAGAATAATCTAAATAGAAACCTTGGTAAAATGAACAAAACTGTTGCACATAAAACCAGAGTTGCACAGATTTCCTGTGCTTTTAGGAGATTTATTAAATTAACTTTACATGATTTCTAGCCATTCAGAAAAGGTGGCTACAATTGTATATGTGAAATGTCCTCTCTGTATTTACAATTATGTTTTTGCAAGCATAGCTTAGGCACCTATTTTTAATAATTGGCCTTTATGAATGAAACACTGTAGTTCCTACTCCAGCAAAACATCCACTGAGGTCAACACTTCCTTGACACAGAACTCTGTCAGGCTACTATACTACTATGTTTAGTAACTACTACTGTGAATAGCCCCATTGGCTTCAGTCCTTCTGGTAGTAAGAGCTTTGCCTAGAAATCACAGTTACTTAGTCTTTGCAGGACTGAGATCTTACTAAAGGTTAAATAAGGACTGTCAGATTTGGGCCTAAATGGTTGACATGAATCATAAACTGCAGCTGGTTGAACAATGTGAAAAAAATAACTGATGAAATGTTTTCCATGTTTTCACCAGATTTTATTACTAACCATTTTGGTTAATAAACACAGTAGAAGTAAAAGATACTCTTCCCTGAGAAGAATATCTAAAATCATCCTTTTTATTTTTCTCCACTATATAAAATCACTGTAAACTTCTGAGAGAGAGAGAGAGAGAGAGAGAGTGCACACAAACACCACCCTGCCAAAATGGATATATAATTGTAACATAGTTAGGAAAGAGTAATGTCACTTTATATTGCATTAAGTACTGCTGAACAAGGCTATTGTAGGCACATATTTTTACTACTTGTTTCATACTACAGTTCTAAAGCTCATTTACCTGAGATCTGTGTTTTGTAAAAATAAAGTTTTATTTTTAACTCCATATGTTACAAAAGACTTGCTTCCAACCCTACGAATGTGAAACCGTGACTTAATTCTGAAACAGATGTTACATGTGATCATATAAAAAAGTTACTGCCAAAATACATGCATATTAAAAAGGGATTGTTAACCTTAGAGGTTTTAAACATCTTTTTTCCCCCCACACCTCCTCATTGCAACACATTTTTTAAAAATAATTTGACCCAGAAAATCCGTGCAGAAAGCTTGCTCTAACAATCATAGGTGCTGACTTCTTGGGTGCTCTGGGGCTCAAGCACTCAGCAAACAAAACTAGCAGGTGCTCAGCACCCATGAGCCATGGCCAAGACATTAAAAAAATAAACAAAACATGCTTTACCGGAAGCAGCAGCACATTACTTCAACCCGGCTCTGCAGCGCCTGTAAAGACTGGGTGCTTCAGCGGTGCTTTTTGGCACTTTTAGCTAAAGCCAATTCCATTATTAGATAAAAGTGCCAAAAAAGCCCCATTAAAGTGCCTGATCTTTACAGGTGCCGTAGAGCCATGTTGAAGTAATGTGTGCTGAGTTTACATTAAAGCATGTTTTTTGTGGAAGTGGGGGTTTCTGTCTGTAAGCACCCACTAGAAAAAAAGTTAGTGCCTAAGCCAGGGGTGGGCATTTATTTTGAGTGGAGGGATTCTCACTCAGTTTTGGCAAGCCATTGAGGGCCGCATGACAGGCAGCCAGGGACACACAAATATTAATTTTCTAAATATTTTAGGGGACCTGCAGGCTGGATAGAATGGGCTGGCAGGCTGCATCCGCATTTTGCCCACCCGTGGCCTAAGCTCACAACCATATTCCCTCTAAGCTGTCCATCCTGGAAAAAAATTACATAGTTCAGAAAACCAGATTTCACTTTACTGTTCAGAGTATTTCATTTTGGTCAGTTCTCATCATCCCGTCTGTAGTCAATAGTCTGTATTTCCTGAGCTACGAACATCGCCATCTCTTTAGTACCTGCAGCAATCACTCGACATGACATGAGATCCAGAGGTCCCCCTGAGAATAAAATGGTAAAGAAGAATAGCATTTAGATACAAAGGCAATATATGCTTTACTGCCTTCTGTTGTAGTTAGATAAATTTAAAAAAAATACAGTTTTACACAAAGTTATGTTTAGGGAAATCCAATTAAGATCTTACAAGCAAAATATTGCATTTTGGGAATCCTAGACCCAGCAACAAAGCATGCAACATACACAAGGTGTATTTGGATTTATTTGGCATGTGACAAAAAACACAACATATTTATCTGTGCTTTCTTAAAGACCAAATGTCCAACTGGCAAAACTATAGAAAGTAAAAAATAAAATAAGCAACAGTACAACCGGTTTTGGGTGTAAAATATATCCTTCACCTGACTTTTTTTTAGTATTGTATCTTTCCAGACTCTTCCCCTGAATAGGGAAAGCTTAGAACACAGGTCTGTGGCTCCGCTCTTAAGGTTAACACATTACAGTTTCCTAACTAAAAAAACCACAAACCTTCATTTTTTCAGTTAATCTGAGTGAGTATTTGTGGGTAGTTGTACCTCAGCATCTTCATACTGTTTTCTCATCCTCTGTCCCAATACAGTAATATTCCACTAAAACCTCTCAGGTCTGGCCCACTTTCACCTAGACATAGGCTGCCAGTCATATCACAATCATGCACTTCTGATTTAGGGATTTCCCAGGGGAGAGGTGCTATATAAACAATCACCCCTCTGTCTTTGAGAAACAATTTTGAAGTAAACAAGATACCATATTTTCTTGCATTACAAAACACCCCCAAATAAGTTACACACCTTGTTTTTGAAAGGCAGAATGAAGGACAAAAAATCAAAGTAATGGCTGCATAAAGCAGGGACAGAGCCTAATGATCAGTCGGCTTACATTCCCTTTCCTACTTAACTAAAAGCTGAAACCCTAGCTTCTGCTGAAGACTGGTCTCCATGGGTGGATCTATGATTCTGAAAAGAACTAACGAGTCTGCAGGGCTGTAAAACAGGAGAAGACTAGGAACAGCTAGCAGCTAGTAAAATTGCTGAAACTGGTTGATTAGTGGAACATCAAGACCATTACAAAGGAGAGATGATGGTCAACACCTGTGGAGTGAAGAACAATGAGCTGTGGGAACAGATGTCCACAGCTGCCTGGACAGTAATGCCACTGCTGCTGCCTAGTGGAGCAGGAAGCAAATCAGGGTGCTTCTATCCAGGACAGAAAAAAAAACAACCATTCCTGCTTAAGACATGCACCCTAATTTTGCATGGCTAATTTTTGGAGAAAAGGTGTGTGTTGCATGTGAATAAATACAGCATGCTAAAATTCCTAAACAGACTCAAGCAAAGTGAGAGGCCTCTTGGGAATACAGAATTATCAGCAAGAGAGAAAGAGAGAGACAGACAGTTCTGAGAATGTAAAGGGCTTTTGGCAGAATTCTCTCTCACTTAGTGGATGGTCAAAGTACAACTTGCGACCAACTCTTGAGTTACCTAACTGAAGTGCAGAAGTGATTCTATTAGCCCCTCAGGTGCATGTAAGAATGAGAAGACATATGTAAGGGTGATCCTGTTCCTGGCTAGAGGGTCTCACCTCTCCCATTCAGAGTCAAACCAATCACTACATTTGGGATCAGGAAGGAATTTTACCCCACGGTCAGACTGGTACAGACTGTGGGTGTTTTTGCCTTCCTCTGTAGTGGGGGGCATTGCCATCTTCCTTGGATCTCTTAAGCATATTTTGGCAACTCTTGCAGTAGCAGGACACTGGCCACTCTTGTTCCCCTGATTTACTGTGGTAGGTTAAGGTGCTACAGAATTGACTGTATAGTTTTACTAATGTTAGGAAATGGATTTATATAGCATGGTTTGGATAGGGATGATCCTTTCTGGTGGGGTGGGGGAGAGAGGTGGACAAGATGACCTCTGAAAGTCCAGCCCTACTTTGCTATCATTCTATGATTCTATAACAGAGGTACTTACGGTGGAATTCTATTTCCCTTTCTGCATCTAAATGGCAATTTTCTAGCCATGTGCCCAGCTGTTTTTGGCCCTGGCTTTACTCGGTGAATGTATAAGCTCCGCACACAGAATGACCATGCTTAGTAAAACTATGCGCTGCTCTGGCATGTATGCAACTACATACATGCCTACCTGAGCATGAGTTCTGGAAAAATGACAGTAGTGGGGAGGGAGGAGGAAGACAGTTCTCCCATGTGTTAGGATATTTACAAAGCTGTCCTTTTGCAAAGGGGCCAGAATTTACCTCTCCTCTCCTCTGCCACAGATTCAGCAAATCACACCTGGCAGAACCGTGCCAGACCATAAATCCCTCCACACAGCCAGATCATCTCCACTCAACCCAGCACCTCCTTGTGCAATGAATTACATTACAGATAAGAGCAGTCATCCAGGATACTGTTGTAAGCCACTCAAAAGCTAAGAACAGAGCCAGACACTATGCTCTCTTTCTAAGAATTCGATCTGTGTATACAAGGAGTAATTGTAGAAGACTGACACAACCAGGGATACCCTGGTTTCTGTGACACTTTCTCCTGTTCCTCCTAGATGACACCATTGGCCTACAGGGTGTCAACACCTCTTTTTAAGATGAGCCTCCTGCCCAGTCTCAAACATGCAATAGTTCAACCAGTATCAAATCTCACTCAGTTCTAAAACTTTTCAAGCTACTACTCGGTGACTTGGCTTCCTTTTCTAAGCAAGCCAATTGAGAAGCTGGCAACAAGACTACCCTACTCCAGTTGTTAACTTTTGGAATCTTGGCTCTATGTCAGTAAGGTTTTACGCCAGCAGCTGGTAATGAGAGAGCATTTGTTGCTCTGGCAAATAACCTTCTCCTGTTCATGTCTATTGTGCTGGCTCTCTCTAAGTCACTTTATATAACATAAATACACTTTTCTTGCCTCCAAAAAGCTGTAGGAGGGAGTGCAAACACACAGAAATGGTTCAGATCCCCAGATGAAACCCAGAAGATCCTTACAGGCAATCTAAAAACCTGATGCAGGGAGAGGATTCAGTTCCTTTCCCATCTTATCCAGCATTTAGAAGAATGTGTTGGGAATGCCAGTGAGACAAAACAAACTGGCCTGGCAAAGGAAGGACTGGAGTGGTAGTATAGCTATGATGGTCCAAGAAATACATGAGAACATAGGCAACTGGTGACTGTTGATAGTGGGAAGACCCAATGCAAAGGCTCTGGTGGTATGCAGCGGGGTTCAGGGCAAATACTCTAGTATGCCTGGATCAGCCTGGTGCCACTGGGACTATGCAACAGGCTATCACTTGCCTGTATTGGCCCTGCATCACTGGGGCTGTATGCCAGATTCTAGCATTCCTGGATTGACTCTTAGCCACCGGAGCCATGTGTCAGGCTCTGGCATGCCCGGATTGGCCCTGCATGACTGGGGCCATGCCCAGTCTTTGGCATGCCTGGATTGACTCTGAGCCCTTGGGGCCATATTCCAGGCAAGACTGGCCTTGCACCACTGGGGCCATGTGCCAGGCTTGGCCCCACACCATTGGGGACATACACCAGACTCTGGGTGCCCGGACCAGCCCCATGCTATCAGGGCCATGCACCATGCTCTGCCATGCTCAGATTGCCCCTGTGCCATTAGGGGGCCTCCTGATGTATAGGGCTGGTTTGGGCTCGCTTGAGCTTGGCCCCTGGCTTTGATGGTGCAGGTACAGTCCCCAAACCCTGGCCCTCCAACCCTCTCTGTCCCATAGACTTAACTACAGAAGCAGCTCCTGAGATCTGCCTGAAGTGCAATGGAAGGTATAGCTGCTGGAGCTGCTCCCACCACGCTGCCTGTACTGCTGGCTGTGTGCGCACATGTGTGCGTGTGCATGGCACCCCATGCCCTGCAGCCTTGGACTTTTTTTCCCCCTTTACCTCCCTTTCTATAAATTTCAATGTTCGTTAATGTTTATTGATAACAATCGATGAACATTAAATCTGGGGAAGTAAGTGCCTTCCCAGGGCTCCCCCGATGCATTGCCAATGCATGAGAAGCAAGTTTTTTTGGGGGGATATCTTTTATTGAACCAACTGTATTTGTAGGTGGACTAACCACACTGTGGGACCAATAAAAGATATAACAAAAAACCCATGCCTTTGCCAAAGGAATACACACAGTGCCCAACTCCATGTTTCCTTTAGTTTGAGCATAAAAAGCACTATCAGCTTTCTAGATGTCTGTGTGAAATTAACACCTAATGAAAAGTAGCTGACTAAAGCTGAACTTGGGAAAAATCCAGATGATGCTGGTAGAAAGATGGAGAACTACGTTTCTCTGTAACATTTCCAAGTATGAGGACTATCTCCTCTTATGCTATGGTATGTTGGTGCTTGTTCTTGGAGCCCTTCAGTCCTACTTCCAGTGAAAATGCAAAACTCATTTATTCAACTGCGTTCTCTCTCAGCTGCCTCACAGAGATACACACACAGCCTCTTCCCTTCCTGCCTTCTTACATACCAGAGAGGGAGACAAAAAGATCTTTTCTATTTTTAAACAGAAGGTATTCAGATATGATTTGAATGAGGAACATGATTTGAATGAGGACTGATAGCTGAATCAAAACTGAAAAAGTAACAAAGAAGTAAATAGCCCAAATTAGAAAGCAAAACGTCTTACTGTTTACTGCCCCATCTCCCAGAGACTAGAAAAAAACGGCTGAAATAAATGGAGTGCAACTATTATTTAGATTCCAGTATTGACCTCTGTGGGCTAGATACTTTCCAAACACAAACATCCAGTCTCTGCCTCAAAGAAGCATATATTACTCACCTGAAGTATCTATCACAGTACCGCCTGCCTCTCTAATAATGACTGTAGCTGCCGCCAAGTCCCAGCAGTGTAAGCCAAATTGATAATATGCATCTGCAGCTCCAGATGCTAGATGGCAAAGAGCCAAAGTAGCACTTCCAATGACACGTACCCTGGAAGCAGCAATAAGAGGTACAATGTAACTTAAAGGGGAAAACTCCTGTGATTCCAACAAATGTATTTATCAACAGAGTAGCGTGTCATACTTGATTGAAATAGTGTAACATTTTGTTTGGAATTTAGGACATCTGTGAATGTTTTTTACTCTTGATTATAATGATATACAAGTCTGTTTAAAAAAAAAAACTTACCCATGTGCTTGGGCTTTGAGTAACCTTTCCATGTTACTGAGGAACAATTTCAAAGTTTCAGGGTCACGTTTTGGACCAATTTCTGTTAAAATCAAGGCCTTCGAGATATCTGCAATGTAGACAGTTGTTTCTATTAATTCACTTGCCTTTCAAAGTTGGATTTGGTAATTTCTTCAAATGAAACATTAAATGGCTTTTCACAGCAAAACCATGTGTCATGCACACAAAAATCGTTCTGTTTCCCCTTTTTTCATATTTTTTCATTGGATAAGAAACAGCTTTGTTTAAAGCACCGTATCAACACTAAATTGTTCGTACAATTATGTTATCTAAAATAAACTGGTTATAGGAGAGCAGAAGCAATAAAAACAAAAATGTATTGTTTACATGTTTCTTTTGTTCCCATCCATTTTTTCTTTTATTTAACTGTTAGCCTTTGGTGACCTCCCAAGCTTTAGCAGTCAGCTAAAACTAATTCAGCAACATTGTATTTATTAATTCCCCTGCAAATTAATTTAATCCAAAAGTAAAATGGTTCCTGAACAGAGAACTTTGATCTCCTGGATAAACCTATCCATTTTAACAAATGATGTAGTACCAGCTATATAAAAGACAAGATCAATTAAAAATATATATCAAAACTCAGTTTTTGGCAATACATCTGATATAGTAAAGACTATTAAAATTATATAAACCTGGAAGTATTAACAGTTTTACAAGGAAAAAAGGTTTAATACTTAGGATTCTTACTCAGAATTATTTCAGTTTATACGTGGTTTGATCAAAAAGTTCTAAGACTTGATGTTCGGGGTGTTGTTCGTCAGGAATTTGTAGTGAGTGGTCAAACAATCAATCAGGCCTTTTATAAAGAGGTTTTGATTCAATTGAGGCATAAAGTTAGAAGATACCACTGCGAGCTGTGTGAAAATGGTCGATGGCTTCTGCACCACGGCAACGCTCCTTCACACACTGCTGTCTCCATTCATGAATTTTTGGCTGAAAAAAAACATTCCTGTGATACCACACCCTCTGTATTCACCTGACCTTGCCGCACATGATTTTTTTCTGTTCCCAAAAATCAAAATGAAGCTGAAAGGAAGGAAATTTGATGACATTCCAGTCATCCACAAGAATGCTAAAGTGGAACTCAAAAAACTCACAGTTGAAGACTTCCAGCATTGCTTCCAAAAGTGGCAGGAACATTGGGACAAGTGCATATCATCTGGGGGAGATTACTTTGAAGGGGACAGCTCATAAAAATGTTGTTTGTACACTATTCTTTAAAATAAAGG